AGAGAGGCGGTGCAGGGCAGTGGTCAGCATGAACTGAACCTGGGGTGAGGGGGCAAATGGTGGGGCTAAAATCCACTCTGTGGCTGTGCCCCTGACCCAGCCTGGTGCCCACCCAGGGCAACTCTGAAGCCAGAGTAGCAGGGAGGAGCCAGGCACCAGCAGACCCTGCAGGAGGGAGCAAAGAAGGGCTCCCAGCACCTTGCAGCTGCCCATCAAGCTCCCCAGTGATGTGGACACAGCCCGAAGTGGGAGCATTGCACACGTGTGTACATGTGCCTGCACATGGGCCCACCCACCTCAGCGGCCCTGGGGGGTCCACACAGTTCAGGAGAAGTGGAGCAGCCTAGTGGGCAGCAGAGGGCGTGTGCTCATCAGCACCCCTGGGGAGAGCCCCACACTCCACAGAAGGCGGCCTCAGTGTCCCCGGGATCCTCCACCAGGCGGGGTGGATGTTGACAGGGGGTGGGAGAGCTGACCCCTTCCAGCCCTGAAACCAGGGAAGACTATGGTGGGAGATAGCACCCACATTAGCCCAGCTCCCACTGTAGTCTCTGCCCCAACACCATCTGGTGACTGCAGCCAGAGGGCCGGATGCTACCCAGCCAGGCGCTGGGGTTGCAGAGACATGGTGACGGTGTATGGCCGGGTCGGGTTCACCACACTGGGGGAGGTAGAGGGAGAGGACAGGATTGGGTCTCTGGGGGCCTGCCACCATCCCCCCCTCTGGGGGTCTGACATGGGCTAGAGACACTGAGGGCATTCATGTGGCATTTCAGATGGTCTCCTGGCATATGTTCAGGCTGAGAGAAGTAGGAGAGGAAAAGCAGTGGGCAGGGGAAGCTTCTATTGGAACAGGCTTATTCATGAATGGAGGGGGGGGGGCTGGGTAGGGGGGCAGGATCCTGAGGAGGAAGGGTGGGAGCCAAGCTGAGGAGGGAGGAGGGCCCCCAGCTCCCAGCCAGCTGGGAGACTGCAGATGGGGCTGGGTGGGAGGCCAGGAAGTTCCCTCCTGATGTTCCTCCTCCCTGTGAAGTGGGAGGCTGGGTCGTGCAGAGGGAAGGGGAAAGCAGAGGAGGGTTTGGGTCTAGGAGAGCGGCTGAGCCAGGGTGAGGATGCCCGGCTCACGGAGAACTCACCCTGCTCCCAGCCTCTGGTCGAGCGCAGCCAGAGAGAATGTAGATTATACTGAACCGCACACCTCACACAGAGAGCAAGCACTCTTTGGGCCAGACACCAAGCACTTCACGTCTTTCAACTCATTGATCCTCACAACAGCCCAGAGGGAGAAGGGACTCATCCTCCTTATAGGTGGGAAACGGAGGCACAGAGAGATGAAGTACCTTGCCCAAGGCCAACCCGCTAGCGAGTGACAGAGCTGGGGTTCAAAGCCAGCCGTCTGGCTCCAAGTCTGCTTTCTCTCCGCCATGGGTGGTTTTGCAAAGGGTGGCTGTGAGGGTGTTGGGTGGCACACCTGGGATGGAGGCCGAGGGGCGTGCGGGGAGCAGAGGAGGCTCCGAAGAGGCAGGCTCCTGTCGGCACCGAGCGCGCAGTGCCGGCCGCTCCTGCTGCTGCACACCCAGCTCCCCAGTCTAGCCCTCCCCCCATCAGACCAGAAATGCAGGCCCAGGATTCACTGTCACCCAGGCCTGGACTCCCCACTGCAGGTCTCGGCCCCCAACACCATCTGGAGACAACCTGTACCTCTGGGCCAGGGATCCTCAAACTTTTTAAACAGGGGGCCAGTTCACTGTCCCTCAGACCGTTGGAGGGCCGGACTATAGTTTAAAAAAAAAAACTATGAACAAATTCCTATGCACACTGCACATATCTTATTTTGAAGTAAAAAACCAAAACGGGAACAAATACAATATTTGTATTTGCATGTGGCCCGCGGGCCGTAGTTTGAGGACCCTTGCTCTAGGGAGTGGGCGTGGACACTGAAGGGGTCAGTGGAAGTGGGGGAGGGCGGGTCTGGGGGACAGGCGCTCTGTCCTCGTGTCTGGGGCCCAGGCAGGGTTCTGGGACTCCAGCTGTGACTCTGTGTACCTCAGCTGCCTGTGCTGTCATCTGTGGTGGCGGAGGGATTATAAGCTGTGGTGGGTGTGTGGCCATATCTGCACCATCTGCCAGAGTGTTCTGAGACTGTGGCTGACATATTTGATAACATGACCTCTGCCCTCAGACCTGGCCTTCCCCACTCCTGCCTTATTTTTGTCTACAGCCCATATCCCCTTTTCTCGTAATATATACTTCATCTGTTCACCAGGTGTATTACCCACCTCCCGGAAGGTAAGTCCCTCGAGGCAGGATTCTTACCTGTGTGTCCAGTGCAGTGTCCCCAGGGCCCTGTGGCACCTGGCCGAGGGCAGGTGCTGATCAGCACTGTGAATGGGACCACTTCTGTGAACTCCGTCCCTGGCATGCCTTCCTCTCTCTCGCTCTCGCTCTCGCTCTCACTATTTATTTGATGCTGAATTTATTGTGGGGCCGGAAGCTTTTGTTCCTTCCATTCCTTCTAGGACATCTTTTTCTCCTGCTCACCCCTCCTCCACTGCTATAGGAGCTGCCTGTCCTTTCTCAGCAGGGACCTCTCAGTGCCGCAGGGAGAACTCGTGCGGGTTAACCCGCCGTGAGCTCTGTATGTTCTGCCCGCATCTTGGCGGCTTTGTTCACCTGGATGTGCCCGATGACCAGATAATCTACATCTGAGCCCTTGCGCTCTGCATTACTCTGCATTTTTAAGCACATGCAGCAAAAATTCAGCACTCCGTTTTGGCCACCGGCCCCGTGTCCAGCCCCACTGTTTGGCCTGGGCACACCTACCAGCTCCGTCATTGTAACGACGAATGGCACACATTGCTTCTGTAGAGTGAACATGAAGATTTGAACCTCTTGATTTGCATGATTTTGTGGGGTTTTCTGGGTCAGCTGAATAGCAAACCACTTTTGGAGGTCACCTCTAGCTGCTCAGAGGAAGAGTTACGGCGTGTCTTTGTGTCAGTACCGTCCCTGACACTGGGTCTGGGTGACAGCAGGAGACAGATAGGCTGGCAGTACCCAAGTGGGGGCCGGTGGCAGTGACTGTCTCTGGGGGGTGCCAGCTCAGCTGGTCCGGAAGCGTTGGGGAAGGTAATGCAGCAAAAGGCTTGTTGCCCATTGTGGTCATCCTGGGCCTGGCATCTGGCCTCCAGGGGTTCTAGGTGCTGGGGAAGGAAAAGGTAGGTGGAGAATGGGGCCTGACCTGATGCCACACCCCCCACAACAGGGAGAAGATGAGCGTGGGCTGCCCAGAGCCCGAGCCACCCCGCGCTCTGCCCTGCTGTGGGCCAGGGACGGCCCTTGGGCTGGGGGCAGGCGTGCCCCTCCTCACTGAAGACATGCAGGCCCTGACCCTCCGCACCCTGGCTGCTAGCGATGTCACCAAGCACTACGAACTGGTGCGGGAGCTGGGTAAAGGCACCTATGGGAAGGTTGACCTGGTGGCCCACAAGGGCACAGGTGAGTATCTGTAAGGCGGCTGGTGTCATGCTTGGGTGGGGACTTAGCTGGGGCTCTCAGGGGCTCTCTGCGGGGGCCAGGAGGCTAGCAGGGAGGAGAGGCAGTGGTCCAGGTGAAGAGGATGCAGCCTGAGTGGCCCAGGGAGGAGAGCAACAGGCAGAAGGGACAAAGGAACCTGGAGATGCCTTTGGGACAGCCAAGAGGATGCATCCCAGGACATCTGGAGCTCAGGAGGAGGTCAAGGTCCGGACTGGTGGTGGTGATGGGAGAATCACCAGCATATCTATCAGTGATAGCTGACCCCAGGGAGATGGACAGACTGTGGGTCCTCCAGAACAGGGCACCTGCTTTGAGGAGGGTGGGTGATGACCCGGTGAGAACAACGTGGCAAGCTCCATTCCTCAGAGAGTTTCAGTCAAGGCCATGCAGAGGGTTTGAGCTAGGATGAGGCCCCAGGCCTCAGGTCCAGAGCCTTCTCACGTAACCACAGAACTTGCTGCCTTCCCCACACTGTAGGCTCACAGCAGTGCCCACTCAGTCGCAGGTGGGGCCTGCATGAGCTCCCACATTTGCACACACCTGGGGCAGGGGGCTCTATGCCGACTGAAGGCAGCAGGAAGATCACTGGACATGAGGTCACCTGAGCTTTGCCACCTGCTTGCTGTGTGACCTTAGGCACGTGACTTAACCTCTCTGTGCCCAGGTTTCATCCTCTGTAAAATGGGGTAGCATTAGTGCCCAGCTCATAGGATCACTGGGAGGAGTCAGTTGTGAATGTGAATTGCTGAAGGCAAGGCAAGTGCTCTGTGGATACACAGGTGCCTGCCCGAGCACACAGTCAGATACTAGTATGTGCCCTGCAGGCCCTCACCTCCCTGTGTTTAATTCCTTCTCATTCACTCATCCATTAAACAAACATTTGTTGAGCACCTACTGTGCGCCAGACTCCTGTAGGCGCTGGAGATATAGCAATAAACAAAGCAAAGGTCCCTGCTCTTGGGAAGTTGTGTTCTTGTTGGGGGAGACAAACGCGCTAAATAAGTCTAGTGTGTCAGGAGGAAAATGAAAGGGTGGGGCAGCTGCAGGCTGGGTGCAGAGGACCCAGCTTGAGCCCTGACTTGCTGCACGGCCTTTGGCAAGTGCTTTCCCCTCGCTGGGTCTGCCCTCTGGGACCCCATCTTGCCTTGTGCCTGGGACAGGCTGTGCAGACAGGCATGGGGGGTGTCAGGTACAGGAGGGCAGGAGCGGGGGCCTTCACCACTGTTGCCCTGCCAGGCATGAAAATGGCGCTGAAATTTGTGAACAAGAGCAAAACCAAGCTGAAGAACTTCCTGCGGGAGGTGAGCATCACCAACAGCCTCTCCTCCAGCCCCTTCATCATCAAGGTCTTTGACGTGGTGTTTGAGACCGAGGACTGCTACGTCTTTGCCCAGGAGTATGCGCCTGCTGGGGACCTGTTCGACATCATTCCTCCGCAGGTACTTGGGGCGGTGGCTGAGGGAGGGGAGCCGGTCTCCAGGGCCCCAGAGTGTGGGTTGGGAGGAGTCAGGCCACTCATTTACTCCATGAGTATTTACTGAGCCGCTGCTGGGAGGGCCGGGGGTTCACAGTGAACAAGACCAAGGTCCGGTCCTGGTCCTCATGGGGGACACGGACACTGGGCAGTGAGCCAGATGACAGACCGCGATGAGCACTGGGAGGAGCAGCTAGAGTGAGGGATGAGGGCCAACAGCGGCCTCTGCAGCTGGGAAGGCCCAGGTGGAGGCACCGACAGGGAGGCCGCAGGGCCGCAGAGGCCCCCGGAGCAGCTGCCGAGTGGGGAAGCAGGAGGGTCCCGGCACCGGCTTTGCTGCTGGCTGTGCCAGGTTTGAATCTGCTCTGCCGCCTACTGATCAGTGACTAGGTCAGTGGTTCTCAACCTTCCTAACGCCGCGACCCTTTCATACAGTTCCTCATGCTGTGGTGACCCCAACCATAAAATTATTTTCGTTGCTACTTCATCACTGTAATGTTGCTACTGTTATGAATCATCATGTAAATATCTGATATGCAGGATGTATTTTCATTGTTACAAATTGAACATAATTAAAGCATAGTGATTAATCACAAAAACAATATGTAATTGCATATGTGTTTTCTGATGGTCTTAGGCGACCCCTGTGAAAGGGTCGCTCGAACACCAAAGGGGTCGCGACCCACAGGTTGAGAACCGCTGGACTAGGTCTCTCCCAGCCTCGGGGTCCCTACAAGAGAAATGGGGGTAATAGGAGCCCCTGTGGAGTTGGTGAGACAGGACAGATAGGGTGCTTCACACAGCAGGTGGCCCGTGGTAGGTGCTCAGTGCCGCCTGTCGCTGCAGTTACTGGGGAAAGGGCCAGACAGGGACCAGCGATGCCCTGGTCGGTGCGGGAGGGCGGCCGGTGCTGGGGGGGATGGGCGGG